CGGAAGGAGCTTGTATGTGGCCTATACCCTGCCAGGGGTGAATGAAAGGCATTGATGTATTAGTTGTATCATTGATGACGATGATGAAAGGGGAGGAGCAATAGGACCAGAGTAGATCTTGAGACTCACGATAGGATTTAAGGAAAATTGGCATGCCTTTTGCTTGCAATAAGGTTTGGTCATCAAGATTGACCACTATTTGCTCGTTTTAAGTCACAAAGCAATCCCAAGGGTCACGTTAGTACATTTCAGAGTAAGAAAGGATCATTTCACCGTTTGTGGGCCTGAACATGAGTCACAGTGGGTTCCCCCTTTGATCTGCCGCCGAAGCTACCGCATTTTCCTTGCTCCCAAGTACCGGGATCTAAGAAAGTGCATGTAGATCTGGTCTGTATTAGTTGAATTCGTAGATTCCTTAACTTAAAATCTGCGAGAATCGTGAATCAGGTACTGGGTAGCGTACAAAAAGAAAAAGGAAAAAGAAAAAAAAAGGGATAAAAAAAAGGAACCAACAACCTCAAAGCAACGAACATATAATCAAACAAACAAACAAACAAAGGAAAAGACAGACAAGCAAACAAACAAACAAACAAACAAACAAAGGAAAAGACAGACAGACAGGCAAACAAACAAACAAGCAAACAAAGGAAAAGACAGACAGACAAGCAAACAAACAAACAAACAAACAAACAAACAAACAAACAAACAAACAAACAAACAAACAAAAGAACAAAAAAACCACCAAGAGGGAACCTCACAGCAAGTCAGCTCTTGTGCGTACGGTGTCAGAGAAGGTTCCAGATTGAGTGAACACGTACAGCATTAACTGTTGATTCAGGAACCTTGCCCCCTACTGTCTCCAGGCCAGGGCTTCTCGCCGGCTCCCTGCAAGACGGAGCTGATGTTCTTATCTGGCGCTCTGGTGGTTTTTTTCAGTTATTAAGATTGTCAATGCTGTTTAAATATGATCTCTTATCTGTTTCTCTGTCTAGCTGTCTGTCCGCCTGT